CCCGCGGCTCCCCACCTGGTCGCGGCGCGGCCTGCGGACCAGCGAGGTGCGCGCCGTGAAGTACTGCTCGAGCTCCGAGTCCGAGTCCTCCTGGCTGCAGTAGCCACTGCTGGTCGTGCTGCTCCAGGTCATCTCAAAAGAAGGCGTCTCGGCCTCACCCATGGCCACGCGCGCGCCGGCCCGCCCGTACACTCAAGTCCGGCGCGTCCCAGACGCTCCCAACCAACGCCCCAGGCGCGTGCGTGCGTGCGTGTGTGCGTGCGTGCGGGCGAGCGTGCGTGTCTGCCAAGGCGCGCGTGCGCCGATGCCAGCGCAGCGCCGCAGCCGTTAAGATTGAAACGTAGACAACCGGGATCTGGACGCTACTCTCATTGGGCGGGTGGGCGGGGACACCAGCACTGCGTCTTACGCGATGACCTCATCGCTTAGGCAGCTCATCCTAGGGCCCGCCTCCCAAGCCCCACCTTTCCGGTGGAAACGTAAATGGAGCCTGTGCGCGTGTGCAGGTACTCCTCCTCACCACGCCCCTCCCTCCCCGACCCAGCCGCCGGCGGACCGGAAGCGGATGCGGTCGGTGGGCGGTGTGGGCCGAGCTCCCGGCGTCCTGGCCAGCCGCTCAGCGCCTCCCCGCCCCGCCCGCACCCCCAGACTCTCCTGCCCCGGTTCCCCGCGCTCACCACGTTCGTGTCTCGCTCCAACGCGGGGTCCCAGCCCAGGTCCCGAGGCCCGCAGCAGTCCAGGCAGACGAGCGCGCGACAGCGGTAGTGGCAGGTGAACTTGCAGTCTGCGGAGGAGCCCCCGACTCAGCTCGGGGGGGCGTCCCGCCCACCAGAGGCAAGCCCCGGGGTGCAAGCCCTTGTTACCGGCTGGGCTCTGGGAGCCTGTCCTTGGGTTGACTTCATTCCCCCCCGCCCCCACCCCCTTTTCGGGGTGCATGTGTGGAAACTGGCTGGAAAGCCTTAGGTGATCAGAGATTCAAGTCTGCTGGATTCTTGGTCTAGCGTCTGGGGCAGAAGTTTTCCTCTTCCCACCCGTTTATTTGGAGAAAACAAAAAACCTTCAACCTACGGCGCCCTCCTGGAGATGTCTCCTCAAACACTGGTTTACATACATCCGCCTGATTTTTTTTTTGGTCTTCATGCCTCTATCCACTTCCTCTATCTGTCCCTCCCTCCAGGAAACTGCCCTACTTAGGACAGACTATCGTCAGTGGTCCATTCTTCATTGTCCCCTGGTTGTCGACATCATTTGATGCTCAGGGGACCACACTCTTTCTCCAGATTTCCTCCCACTCCCTGTGACTCCTGCTGCTCAACTCCTTTGCTGGTTTTGTCTCAACTTCTAGATCTAATGTGTTGATATTCACGGCTCACCTGATGGCTGTCCCGGATCTGTTTACACGGTGAGCCTTGGATGCAGATGCAAACCCGCCTACCCATCTTAGATCAAATCCTACAGTGCAGACTTGGATGTCTTAACATATTTCAAGTGAACGTGATCCAAAATAGAACCCACTTTTCTTCCACCTCAATCCTGCCCTGACCAGGGTTCCTCATCTCAGCATAAGTTGCCACTATTACTCAGTTGTTTGAGGCAAAACCCCAAACTCATTCTTGATTCTTTCTTAATTTTATTTGGAAGTTCTAGTCTGAGGCTTGTGAACTCGGAACCGAACTCTGCCTCAGCTTTTTCCATCCACCCCTTAAACCACGCCTTCAGTTTCTCCCTTGTCTTTACATCTTTGTTGGATACCTAAACTATCCTGTGTGTCATTTCCATAGCTACTTCATTTCTTCTTGAGAACATTGCCGTGTCCTGGCCTTTGTTCATGTTTTGTATCGTCCCAAGTTCCTGTGCTTCACCAGCTGAATTTGTGACATGAATTTGTGACATGTTCCTCCCTGGAGGAGCAGCTTGCCAGGCATACACAGGCCAAAGGCACCACCCCTAAATTCCTATATAGGCCAAAGCACTTGATTCTCAAACCAGACTGCCCATTAGAATGGGCTGGAGAGGTTTTTGTTTTTTAATTACTGATGCCTGTGGCCCACTTCCAGCAATTGACTCAACAGGCCTGAGATAGGCTCATGAGATAGAAGGTGAGCATAATGGGGTTTGGAGGACTATAAAAGTGCCCTGGTGATTCTAGCTGGTGTACATTCAGCAAATTTCTGCTTGCTGTGATTCCCAGTGTGACTGTGTTCCATGTTTTAGCACCTGGTTCACTAGGGCCCAATATGGGAACCTACTAAATACTCAACAAAATTCCTGTTTGCAGGAAACCCACCCTACGTTATTTTTTACAGGCTCTTGTCCATAGATGGATAACTTCTTCACCCCAGGAATTCTGGAGGGAACCTAGGAGTGGAATTATTGGGAAGAGGCTCAGAGGACAGAGAACACCAAGGCTTTCTAAGGAAGGGCCAAGGCACTTTAAAGATAAACTTGGAACCAGAACCAATGACAAGCACCCTCCCCATACCCCCTTCTGGGACAGGACAAGGTGAGGGATCTGATCTGCGGGACAGCACGGTCCCTGCCAACCCTCTGGGCCTCGACTGTCCTTTGACAGTCCCTTCCGCTCTTGGCGTGCAGGGGACAGCTACTCACACGCGCACTGCAGACCCTTGCGCACGACGCCCCAGATGAAGTCTCCGCAGAGGTCGCACCACGTGTGCGTGGCGGGCCCTGCAGGCTGGAACCGGTGGCCGCGACCCGGGACCTGTTTCCGTGCGAGGTTGCGCGCGGGGCTGGGCGCGATGCGCAGCGCGTTGGCACGCTCCAGCCGGGCGCGGCCCGGGCCAGGGCGCCCAGCAGGTGTCAGCTCCCGCAGCTCAATGAGCTCTGGCTCCGTGGACATGGCCCGGTGGAGCTGGGTCTTCCGCGGACTTGGCCTGAGAGTAGGGCGGGCGGGGCCGCGGGGCGGGCCGAGGGCTGGGCGCCGCCCCCAAGAGCGAAGGCGGGCGGGGCCGCGGGGCGGGCCGAGGGCTGGGCGCCGCCCCCAAGAGCGGAGACAGGGGCGGGGCCGCGCGCCGAGGGCTGGGCGCCGCCCCCAAGAGCGAAGACAGGGGCAGGGCCGCGCGCCGAGGGGAGCCTCAGCCCGCAGTGCTGGCTCTCTGGCGGGCCGGGGCCGGGGCCGTTCTTGCCGAGCCCCTTCCCTCCCTCCTTTCCATCATCCCTTCCCCCACCATTGCAATGTGGGGGACGCACAGCGCCGCACGGAGACAGGCATGTTCAGGGGGTTACTTTTACTGTACGAGGGTCACCACATCCTGCCCCGGTCTCCCCCACCCACCAGGCTTCGCCGCCCCAGGGTTACTAAGGCTTGTGACCTCACCTCCACACCTAGTTAACGGGTGGGGCTGGAAGAGGGACGCCTCACTGGGGAAGTGGGGACAGCAGCTCGATTGGCCTGGGTGGGGGGAGAGGTTGGAGCGGGGGTCTGGCAGGCACCAGAGATTCTGAGATTCAGGGGCGCCTTATGGGGTGGGTCGCCTCGGTTGACTCTGGGTGGCTGCAGACTTCACTTGGCTCTGTCACCCTGGGCAGCCAGGACACAGGCCTTTTTATGCTTCTCCCAGTGCTTGACTTGGCACTCCCTGCAGGCAAAAAGTAGGCCCAAAGTGAGCTCCTGGGGGCGTGAGGATGGCAGTGCTGGTGGGGCCCTGGGGCATGGGATCTTGGGGGTACCCTCACCTGCAGCAGTACCACTCATTCTGGCATCTTGAGCAGCGCTTCGAGGCCTCTGAATTGCAGGAGGCGCAGCGAGGCCTTTCCGGAGCCACTGCCTCTAGCAAGTCTAGCCTGTAGGTCTCAGCCCACCTTGGGGGGGGGGGGTTAAGAGAGCCTGATTGGGCCAAGCAGGTAGGGCATGGAAGCACGCTTGCCCACATCCATCTCCCCTCTCTCCTGATAAACTCATCAGGCCTTGCCTTCGTGCCTGCAGCCGGAGGTCCTGCTCAGAGGGGCTGAACACATTCTGAAGCTGGTGCTTGGCAATGGCCTGCCACTTGCCTCTGTTCTCTCGTTCCAGTCGTTCCCAGATTTCTGGGATCTATGGAAGAGTCATTGAGAAGGCAAAGAAGGAGCTAGCAAAGGGGACAGTGGACCTGGCATGAGTCCTTTTTCAGGGGCCTACCTGTTCCAACACCAGGTCCTTCTTAGGGGTCTGGGTTTCTGCCAATGCCAGGTGGGCCAGGAAATCCTTGAGGTCTGCCAGGTTGGGCAACTGGTCAAGTAGTGTGTCCGTGAGGAAGGCCTGAAGCTGTAAGGATGGGGGGGAGGGGAAGAGCAGTGTGAACTAGGTGCTGGCCAGAGGTGCCAAGGACCAGGGAGGGCTTGGGGTGGGCTTTATGTTCAGGGCTTACGCTGCAGGAGCTTCTGTCATGGAAAGAGGAGGGGGTAGAGGTGAGTGGGCAGAGATAAACCAGCAGGGATGTAGTGGGGGAGGTTTGGGGCTATGTGGATGGGTGGGAAAGACTCCCCACCTTAAGCAGCTGTCCCTTAGCGAAGCTAGTGAAGCAATAGCGGGCCCGGGCCTCAGGGCTTAGCAGCAGGTTATACAGAGCGATCCACACTTGCCCATCCAGCTTGCTCAACTTTTGCTGCTCTGAGGGAACCACTGTCTGCCAACGGCCACTCTCAAATCGTTGTAGCTTGCCTGGGGGGGCGGGGTTGTTGGGTGGAAGAATTTCCTTCTCTTTTTGTTTGTTGTTGGTTGTGGGGCTTGAACTCTGGGCCTGGGCTTTGTCCCTCAGCTCTTCAGCTCAAGGCAAGCACTCTACCACTTGAGCCACAGCACCATTTTTGGTTTTCTGGTAGCTCATTGGAGATAAGAGACTCTTGGCCTTTCCTGCCCAGGCTGGCTTTAAACTGCGATCCTCAGATCTCAGCCTCCTGACTAGCTAGGATTACAAGGGTGAGCCACCAGCGCCCATAGGGGGTCCTAGAAACAGGGTTAGGGGTTTGGGCAGGCTGGGGAAGGACCTTACCTCCTTCCTGCCGGGTCCAGGGACTGTGTTGTAGCAGTTCCACCAGGAGGCAGGGCAGATTGTGAGTGCTGAGCATGCGGTTCAAGGCGTTCAAGGAAAGGCTAGGGGGTCAGGGGTGAGGAGGAAAGAGTGAGAGGAGATTCCAAGCAGAGTCTTGTAGCCATCCATTCTAGGCCACAAGCCCTGGAGGGCTGCCCACCTGTCCACACAGTCTGTGATATAGCGCAGCACTGAGAGGGCTTTCAGGGAAATCTCAAATTCCATCAGCTCTGCCTGTTTCTGCAGTTCCTGCAGGTGGGAGGGGGCAGTGCTCAACCTGAACCATCCCCTGGCTGCACAGCGCCAGAGAAACCCATCTGTAGGCTTTGCCAAATGTCAGGAAAGCTCAGCCCACCTGCATCGGGGTAATATCCTGGGATCCCTCTTCTTCAGAGGGGGTGCTACCATGGCTAGTGCGGGCCACCAGCAGGGTCAGTTTGCGGTGGCAGTAGTCCACCAGGTCCAACACAGTGTCCTCTGCTGACTCACACACCTCCTGGGGGGGTCCAGCAGGGGACACTTAACTGATGCTCTCACCACCCAGACATACCCTGCCAGGCCCTGGTCTGGCACAGTGCCCCCCCCTCCCCGGGAGCCACGATTTTGCCTTACCTTGTAGAAGAACACTGTCTCTAGGAGGTTAATGATAGAGGCCTCATGGTGTATCTATCAAGGAGAAGGACAAGGCCTGGGCTGCATGGAGAGTTAGGGACTATCGCCTGTCTCTCTCAGTGCAGGGAGCTCTGAAGGGATGTAAGCCAGGGCCCTTGCTCACCACCATGTATATAGGGAACGTGTTCTGGGGCTTGAAGTCCTCCAGCTTGCACAGCACAGGGAACACCTTCTGCTTCCACATCTCCACTGCAATCAGTTCTTCCACCAATGTAGGGATCTTTGAAGAGTAGGGGAAGGGACTAAGATAAGGTTAAGGTGGAGTTACCTTAGCCTGACAACCCTCTCATCTCTGATAAGGACCAGATTAGCTAATTACCCTGTACCCGTAGATTTTTGTTGTTGGTGGTGGTCGTGGGGGCTGAACTCTGGGCCTGGGGGCTGTCCCTCAGCTCTTCAGCTCAAGGAGAGTGCTCTACCACTTCTGGTTTTTCTGCTTCTGTGGTGCTGTGGAATCGAACCCAGGGCGTCATGCATGCAAGGCAAGCACTCTACCACTGAGCCACCTTCCCACCCTTGTACCTGTATTTTTATTCCTTCCTCTTCCATCTAATCATCCCTTTAAGGCTAACTCTCCTGCTCATGTCCTTCCTTGTATGTCCTGTCCTGTCTTTGTATGCCTTGGCCTTACTCTTACTCAGGGCCCTTTACAGTGCCCAATTCCTACTCTATTCCTTAGCAGTAGCTCTGCTTTTTTCTTGCACAGGGACCCAACTGTCAAATGATATCTCATGTGATGCACCAGTACCAGCCCTTAGCCAATCCCACTGCCAGGATTTTCTCTGGTTTCTAACATTCCTGCCTCCCCACCTCTGTTGGAAATACTGCATCCTTCTGTGCATGTGCAAAGTTCCTCTCCACTTTGGTGAGAGCCTTGTAGTCAGTTCACTGTGACTTTAGCTCTTCGGTGTTTCCTTGAGTCTATTCTAAGAACCATCGTCTTCCTGATCAACTCACTCCTAGCCACAGGCCTGGCATGTCTGGATCCAGTTCGGTATGAGTACAAACAGAAATGTAGCAAAGGTGGGCTGGGAAGGTGGCTCAGTGGTAGAGCGCTTGCCTTGCATGCATGAGGCCGTGGGTTCGATTCCTCAGCACCACATAAGCAGAAAAAGCCGGAGGTGGCGCTGTGGCTCAAGTGGTAGAGCATTAGCCTTGAGCTGAAGAGCTGAGGGACAGTGCCCAGGCCCAGAGTTCAGGCCCCACGACCGACCAAAATAAAAAAAGAAAAAGAAAAAAGAAATGTAGCAAAGGTATGCTGATAGATGCCTGATTCCCCCTGTTCTCATGCTGGAATTACAGACATCCATCAGCATGCAGGATCTTGCTATGTTGGCCATTCTGGGCTATATAGCAAGACCTTTTGGCAAAATGAAAGAAAAGATAAAAGGGAAGGGATACAAGTGTGGTGGCTCATGCTTGTAATTCCTGTTGCTGAGGAGATGGAGATCAGAGAATCGAGGCCAGCCACTGCCCAACGTGGGTGAGATCCCATCCAGCCAAAAGCTGGGTGTGGAGGTTTCTCTCTGCAATCCCAGCTATGTGGGAGGCCTGGCTAGGGACAATAGAGAGGTCTGAGCAAAACACCCACAATCCTACCTAAAACATAATTAAAGCAAGCAAAGAGGGCTGGAGATGGGGCTCCAGTGGTAGAGCACTTACAAGGCCCAGAGTTTAAACTCCAGGTACTATCAGAAAAAAAAAAAAAAAAAAGGTAACACATTCCTCTTTCCCTTCCGGGAAGAGCAGGTGTCCAGTTCTCCCAAGGTGCAGAATAAGCAAAGGTGTGAACCTGATCTTGGCCTACCTTCCCGTGAGTGGCCAGCAGCTCCTGGATGGGCTCTCCCTGGCTGACCGTGGCATCGAGGATGGCTTGCATGTTCAGCTTCTCCAGGTGCTCATGTTGCCGGCTCCACCTGTCCCAGAGTGTGTTTGTGTGTGTGTGTGTGTGTGTGTGTGTGTGTGTGTGTGCATCTGGGTGCAGAAAAGTGCTGGAGGAGTGACTGGGGCTGGGTGTTATGGAAGCCTGGCCTAATCTTGAAGAGCCAGAGACGGTCAGGAGCTGGTGTCTCCTACCTGGGGGGTGGGGGGGTGGCTTCCACCCTGGGCAGCCCCTTCTCCCAGCTCCCCAACTCAAGGCCCCGGGTGACAGCCCCATCCGGTCCCAGCTGCCTCACCCTTCAGAGCCCATCTCCAGTAGCTGGAAGCTGCGCAGACCCCGAATCAGAACATCAGCCTCCCCGGGCAGGAGCAGCTCCCAGTCGCCCATGTTAGGGAGGGTTGGATCGTCTGGCAGCGGACGGGTTTGGATGACCGATCCCCGTGGGGCCCTTCGGTGTGGAAGGCGGACAGTTGCCCGGCGGTTTGAGCGCGTGGGTTCTCAGCGCCATGGAAACCGGTTGGGCTTCTGCGCGGCTGAGCAGTGCGCGCGCCCCGCCCCCGCAGGCTGGCCCCGCCCCTCGGCTGCTTGCACAGGTCTCAGACCCCAGAGCTGCGGTCGGGGGCCTAGATTCCCTCCCTGGTCATAAGATCCCCCTGAGCAGATTAAATGCAAGCCCCTCCGGGATGATCCCTCCTCGTGGTTTCCCTCTTGAACCACACCTTCATTTCCAGCTTTTTTGGTGGTTAATTGGAGACCAAAGTCTCACAAGACTTTCCTTGCCTTTGTCTGGCTTGGAACTGTGGTCCTCAGATCTCAGCCTCCAGAGTCCTAACTAGGGTTACAGGCGTGAGCCACCAGCACCTGATCTTTCTCTTACCTCTCCTGTTCTAGCCCCTAGTTGGAGATAGTTTCCTGGGCTTTTCTGCCTGGTCTGGCCTCCAACCATAATCCTCTAAATCTCTTCCTGAGTAGTTCGGATATAGGCATGAGCCATTGGCAACCCGCTAACAATATCTTGTTGTTGTTGGTCGTGGGGCTTGAACTCTAGGCTTAGGTGCTGTCCCTCAGCTCTTCAGCTCAAGGCAAGTGCTCTACCACTTGAGCCACAGCACCATTTCTGGTTTTCTGGTGGTTTATTGGAGATAAGAGTCTTACTGACTTTCTTGCCTGGCCAGCTTCGATCTGCAATCCTCAGATCTCAGCCTTCTGAGGAGCTAGGATGACAGGTATGAGCCACTGGTGCCTGGCAGGTTTTTTTTTTTTGGGGGGGGGGTCTGGTCGTGGGGCCTGAACTCTCGGCCTGGGCACTGTCCCTCAGCTCTTCAGCTCAAGGCTAGCGCTCTACCACTTGAGCCACAGGGCCACTTTTGGCTTTTTTCGTTTTGCTTATGTGGTGCTGAGGAATCGAACCCAGGGCCTTGAGCATGCAAGGCAAGCGCTCTACCACTGAGCCACCCACCTTGCAGGTTTTTAACAACATCTTTCTTGCTTTAATCCAAAATAATCCTTGCTTCCATCCCAACTCAATTTTCATCCCGTTTCTTTTCTGATACTTGCCTGTTGTCAGTTTTGGCCACCAGATGGCGCTTCAGCATGCCAGGAACATGACTGACTGTTAGGTAAAACTAGCTGAGGCAGTACTCAAGAAAAGTACATTGAAATTAATGATTTTATTTACAGAACTGAGGGTCAACCTCCACACAGTATGGATTAGCCTACTTGTCTAGCTCCCATGCACCAGGCAGGGCTTAGCAGGAGGGAGTTGCCACAGGAAAATAAATCCCAGCCAGTCTGTCTCATTTCCAGCATATGATGATGTTAGGGTCATTTTCCAGCCGTTCATCCAGCTCATGGTAGCTCATGCCTGGGGTGGGGTGGAGGAAGTGAAATCAGTGGCCTTAACCTGGCTGCCCTGCCCTGATTTCACCTGGGCTGCTTTGTCTGCCTTCACCTGTCTTGCAGCAAATCTCATCATAGCTGTGGCAGCCTGTGTAAAGACGGGCAGGGTGGCTTCGCTCCTCCCGAGACACCCGGACTGGATACTTCTGTAATCGTCGGATGAGATTCTTCATAAGCCCAAACTGGATCAGCTTTCTGGAGTAAGGGTTAGGAAAGAGGAGTGATACCCTGACACGGCCTCCTTCTGACCAGGCCAACCATTTACCACGATCTTCCCTTCAGTTCTGTCTCAGTGACCAGATTAGCCCCCAAGTGTATCATCTCCAGAAAACCTATCTGTGCACTAGCCATGCCAGAGGCTCTGCTCACTGGAATTCCCTGTTTCTCGTCTGTCCTCAGGCAACCCTCATGCCCAGGAATGCCCCTCTGACCGTTCATCAACGTGCTGTAGCTGCTGGGGGTGGCGGCCAATGAGGTCTCGCACAGTGGTGCCAGGGCTCAGACTGCAGTACAGCTGGAATACATCCCGGAGACTGGCTCTTTTGTGTCCTGTAGATACCAAGTGTCAGCTTGCCGGGTGGCCCTGCTTCCTCATCAAGTTGGTCTCCCCCAAAGAGCTTGCCACTACCTTGTTTGGTCACGTAGGATAGACATGCCTCCTGCAAGGACTTGTCATCTACCAGATCCTGGACCTTGGGTGTCGGGCAGTATACATTGGAGTACTGGAGAGTGGAAGACACAGGGGTCTGAGTTAAGGTATTGTGAGGCCAACCTGGATTGGCCCAGCTGTACGATCTCACACTTAACTGTACCTGACTCACCTACCTGGAGGATGGACACCAGTGTTACAACACCATAATACCTAGGGGAGAGAGCTGTACTTAATTTCCAAGGGTCAGGCCTTCCCAGCCCCATACTCAGAGTCCCTGGGCTGAGTCCTGCAGCCCTACTCACAGCAGGTTCTGGATGGCGATGCGCACTAGATTGAGCTCCACATCTGCCTCAGCAGAGATTTTCTGGACGTGGCGGAAACCATCAATGTAGGGCAGGATCTAGACAGAGCATGGTAGTGCCAATAGGGGTAGGATGAGGCCAAGGTTAATGAAACCCAGGGATGGATGCCATACGTACCTGTTGTGTGGTGAGGTCCCACTGTGAGTTGAAGAAATCCTCCTTGTCCTTAGTGAAGACAGGCACATCATACTCTTGGGCTACAGGAGGATCGGGCCGCTGCTCTATCACCTTCAAGTGGATGGTGTTGGACTCATCTGCAGTGGAGCCACCCACATCCTCAGTGTCATCTTTCCCAAGAGACTATCGATAACACCCAGAACTCCCAGCAGTCCTTGAGACAGGCAGATGCCTCACTCCATTTTTATGGAGTGAGAATCCAAAGTCCAGAGAGGGGAAAGAATATACACAAGAGGCTTTCCCACTCACAACCACCATACACTGAACCCTCAACATCATCACCTCTATCTATCAGGTTATCTCCTGGCCATCAGTTTATTCAAGGGTTTTGGCTGCAATCATCTTCTCCTGTCACCCTCCCCCCCAATTAATCTGCTGCCTTTGAAGAGGCTGGGACATACCGATGGGCAGGGTGCACCGGCCAGAGGCATTAAGCTCCTCCAGTAAGATGGTCATGATGGGCACCAACTTCTGTTTGCTTTCCTCTGTAGATACAAAGCTGCTCTCTAGCTGGATAGAACATGAACAGTATGGCGAGTAAAACTCAGGGTTCCTGGTTGCCCTGACTGGGTCCTTAAGCTGCTTGTCAGGGTTAGTGGGGCTTTGGAGACACAGGAACACTTACTACAACTCTACCTGCCCATACACCCAAACCCATCTCATTGCAAACCTCCAGTGTTGTCAGGTAGCCAGCCAGCTTTTTAACAATGGGCTCGAGGGCACAGGTCTTAGCCTGGGCATCACACACAAAGCCTAGGTTGAAGAGGAGTGCATTTCGGCTGTACTTCTTGTGTTCAATGCACACGGGGCAGCCAATCAGCTTCTTTTCCATAGCTGTGCTAGAGAGTTAGAACAGAGTCAGCCTTGCCCTCAAGCCTAGCCCCTCCTCCTTCTGAGACCCCCTTCACCCACAACCAACTAGGGCCTCACACAGTGATGAGCTTGTTCTGGAGCTCTGGCTTGGTGATGATGTAAACTTGGACAGTGTCAAACAGCTCCCGGGAGATGAAGTCCTCAGGGACCTAGGAAGGAAAGTGGCAAGAGGTCCTTCAGTGGACGTTGGGAGCTAGGTGGAGTATATTGGGTTGTATCCCCCATCTTAGGCTCTTTCCCTAGCCTGCGAACTCCTTTGTGTTTTGCAAACACACGCTCTGTTTTCATTGACTTATCTTCCTATGCATCATTTAAGTTTCAATCCAGGGATTCTCACCGGCCCCCTCACTGTACTTTGAGACCTGCCACCCCCCCTTGAATCCCATAGCCCCGATTTCCTACAAACAATGCTATGATGTCATGTCTCCCTCCCCACAGCAGAAGCCGGTGACCTGGGCCCCAGGCATCCTCTCCGATCACAATTATCCCCTAATGAGTGACATGCTTGCAGGCATGGTCAGCCAGCTGAACTTCAGAGCTTCCTTCACCCTGCCCGATGCCAAGAGCCCCAGAGGCACCTGATAGGTGATCTTGGGTCCCAGTGTGGGATGGAACTCGCTGAAGAATATGCATTCGATGCGACAGCTACTGCCCATGGCGCCAGCCGGTCCCGACTCTGCAGCCCCTTTTCCCTTGCGCGGAGACAACCTCACGCCTGGAAAACGTGTCAGCGAGCACCGAGGCCTGGGCACTAGGTCACGCAGACTGGCTGGCGGCGCGCGTACACTCGACAGTGAAGCCGTCTGCTGAACAGCGCACGCGCAGTGCCACTCAGAGGCGTGGCTGGTGGGCGCGTAGGGCGGGGCGCTTGTCTCAGGAAGTCCCGGTGGGTAGACGTAGCACCCGGAAGTGAAGTGCTTCCGCGACAAAGCGACGGCGCGCGCGCGCGCGCCACAGCGGCCGGCGTACCCAGCTTGGTTTGGAGGAAACCACGGCATTAGATTGTAAGCTGCAGGTGAGACAAGCAGATCCCTTCGCTGGAAGGGCAGCATGTTGGCGGCACGTGGGGAGACAGCGAGTGAAGGGATCCGTGCTTAACTTGGGGAACTACAATTCCTGTAGTGCTCCACGCCTGCCCAGCCGGCGTTCTGGGCAAGCGACAGCGCGGTGCACTATGGGAATTGTAGTTTTCTCGCTGAAAGGTGGTCTGGAGCTCAATACCAGCTCAGGAACTGGTAGATGCTGGTAGGTAGATGCTGACCGGCTGCTGGTGGTCTGCTGGCAAGTTATGGTGACTATTCTTCGTGCCAGTTTCAGCCTATTTTTGTCCTAACTTCGTGGAAGAGGGTGGCATTTCTGCGTAGCAACCCTTTCTCCAGTGAGAGGTGTGGACCTGACTCTTTCCAACGCTGGTATGTTTCAGGATACAGCTATCGGCTGGGCTGATCATGGCCCTTTCTGTGGAGACGGAGTCGCGTATCTATCGAGCTCTGCGCACTGCCTCTGGGGCTGCTGCCCACCTTGTGGCTCTGGGCTTTACTATCTTTGTGGCTGTGCTTGCCAGGCCTGGCTCCAGTAAGTAGAATTTAGTTGAATTCTGGGAAGGGTAAAGTAGTTTTTGAGGTGGTGGTGGTAGGAGCTGTAAGAAGGCTTAGGCTTGACTCCTGTTATCAGGCCTGCAGACAGAGGAATATTCTATACTAGTGGGATGGAGCAGGTGGAGTTGGCGACTCTGCCCTCTTGACCTGGCCTCTATCCTTGTCTTAGTGCTTTATTTGGCTGCATCTCAGGAGGTTGTGGAGGAAAGAGGAAACTGCCAGAGAAGTAGCAAAGTATGGCCTCTAGTCCAGGATGAACAGCTGGGGTGGGGTCAGCTCTTGGGGCACTTACACGTTGCCAACACCTCCGTAAGTGGTGGGCCCATATGTATTAGGATTGGTAATGGTTAGTGTCTTCTTGCCTGTACCCAAGGTCTCCTTTTCTCATTCCAGGCCTGTTCTCCTGGCACCCTGTGCTTATGTCACTGGCTGTAAGTAGTGGGTTTAGATAGGTCTTATGGGTGGGAGCATGGGCATGGGTGGTGGCCCTGGTGGTCTCTGAATCTTTGTGGCTATTAAGTATCGGTTTAGAGGAGATGCAAGCCCCAACTGCTTCTGCTCCCTGGCCTGAACCAAAGTATTCAAGGAGCAGGATAAGTGGGTGAAGCGTGTATAAGCATAAAATGAAGGGAGAAACTCCCTCCCTGAGACATTACCTTTGGAGGCTCCTTTGTCTCTTTTTAACCTTAATTTGTGATGATGCATCTCACTTTCTCTGAAGTGGTGCACCCATGTAGCCAGCTCTCGCCAAGAAACAGTATCCAGCCTCATGGGAGGGAAACAAAGCTTGTGAATCATTTATTGTAGCCATATCTCAAGCCTTGTTTGCTGGGTAATGTAGCAGAGATGACATTTCAGAACAGCACCTGGGAAGAAGTATGGAGAGGCAACTCTCACAAGCTCTTTAGAGCAGGAATTGTCCTATATAGGGTTCTGTACTTTTGCCCCACAGGATAGTCTTGTCAGTGGGGAGAGAAGGAAGGGGAGTCATGAAGGTTATCTAAAGCTCTCTTCCTCTTTGCTGGGACAGTAGCCTCACTTGTTTCCCGTCCTTTCTCCTCAGTTTTCCTTCCTGATGACCGAGGCACTGCTGGTGTTCTCTCCTGAGAGTTCGTTGCTGCATTCGCTCTCACGGAAGGGCCGAGCACGCTGCCATTGGGCGCTGCAGCTGCTGGCTCTGCTGTGTGCACTGTTGGGCCTAGGTCTTGTTATCCTCCACAAAGAGCAGCTTGGCAAAGCCCACCTGGCTACGCGGCATGGGCAGGCAGGGCTGCTAGCTGTGCTGTGGGCCGGACTGCAGTGCTCGGGTGGGGTGGGACTGCTGTACCCCAAGCTACTGCCTCGATGGCCTCTGGCAAAGCTCAAGCTCTATCATGCTACTTCCGGGCTACTGGGATACCTCTTGGGTAGTGCCAGCCTCCTGTTGGGCATGTGCTCACTCTGGTTCACTGCCGCTGTCACTGGTGGGGCCTGGTACTTGGCTGTGCTATGCCCCATCCTCACCAGCTTGGTCATTATGAACCAGGTGAGTAATGCCTACTTATACCGTAAGAGGATCCAACCATGAACTCTTCCTAGCCAAGAGGAAGCCTAGATTTGCACCTGTGCAGGAGCTGGGACTGGGCGCCTCCTGGACTCTCCTAGCTGATTGGGTCTGGGGCAAGTTCAGGTACTGGGGCAGTCGGGGTAGGAGATCTGTGTGAAATACTTGCTCCTCATATTAGACTCGCCTCCCTTTGCCTTCTCTCACCGCCACCCCCCTCCCCAGAGGAGCATAAATCATGTGTGTGGATGAAATTGGGGTTGCAGCACTGTCTCCCCAACAATGCAGCTCATTCTTTTACTGGTATGTCCAGAAATTATGGAGAGAAAGAATAAAAAAAAAACTGATGGGAAAAGCAGCCCAGAGTTGAAGATGGTTCTTGCTAAAGCCATCAACAGGAGAAAACGGGCCACTGGGCTAGGTGGCGACTCTTTTTCTTTTTTTTCTCCCATCATGGGGCTTGAACTCTGGGCCTGGGCGCTGTCCCTCAGCTCTTCAGCTCAAGGTGAGTGCTCTACCACTTGCGCCACAGCGTCACTTCCGGCTTTTTCTGCTTCTGTGGTGCTGAGGAATCGAACCCAGGGCCTCATGCATGCAAGCCAAGCACTCTACCACTGAGCCACCTTCATAGCCCTGGGGGACTCCTTGAATTGTGGAATTCTCCCAGCATACAGGTCTCCAGGGTCTGGCTGCTGAGCCTCCCCTGTGGCACTAAAGGCTTTACCAAGGCCCACAGCCAGAGCTCTGAGTAGTACAGCAGTATGTCCTTTCCACTATCTTCCAGGTATAGATGGTCTGTATTGGAGTCTCCAGACTTCAGTTAGACGACGACAGTATGGGAGCTGGGGAAGAGCTCTATCTCTGTGTCAAGCATGAAGCACTCTTAAGAGGTGAAACATGAGCCAGCATTTATGATTTGTCTGATTCTGTGGATGGAGCGGAGGGCCATCTAGGGAACAGCTCTGGGAAGGCTGCTTGGCAGTGGGCACGTGGTGATGGAGGGAAGGAGAGTAAGGGCAAGGAACTTCCTATTACAGGCAGAAGTAGTTATGGAGTTTGAGCTCTTGGACCCAGTAAAGACTATCTTTTCAACAGAGCATGATAAGGAGGCTGCAGCTGGAGCCGGTGGCTCACGCCTGTCATCCTAGCTACTCAGGAGGCTGAGATCTGAGATTATGGTTCAAAGCCAGCCACAGCAGGAAAGTCCGTTAAGACTCTTCTCTTCAATTAATCAACAGAAAACCAGAAGTGGTGCTGTGACTCAAAGTGGCAGAGTGCTGGCCTTGAGCAAATAGAGCTCGGGAACAGCACCCTGAGTTTCAAGCCCCACTGCTGGCAAAAAAAAAAAAAAAAAAAGAGGCTGAATAAGCTGGTCTGACAAAGCCCAGGAGTCATACCTCAAAGAACTGCTTTATTGATATTATGAGGCCGGGCAGAGCTGCCCACTCAAGTGGTCCTGTAGAAAATACCCGGAGGCTGTGGTTGTCCTGGCCTGGAATCAGTCACTGCCACAGCAGAGGGAAACAAGAAATCCTGACATGAACAGTCTTTCTGGGGGAGGGCAGGGATGTCTAGCCCTGCGCTGTCTCCTGCACTGGCGGGGCCCTCAGAACATTTTTTGGCAAATGCAGATCCTTGCCTTGGCTCAGGGCTCTTGGCAACCAGTTTCAAATATGAGGACCAGCTCAGGAGCTGTGGCACCAGTGTCCCTGCAGCCATTTACTTGGGGCTTCCTGCTGAGGTACAATCTTACCTCATGTGGGGGCCTGGTCTGGCTGATGCCTCCAGAGGTCCCAGGCCTGGCATAGTGGTTGTCTGGAGTTGGAACCAGGAAGCATGGGTCCTGGGTAGTGTTGGCGAGACACACGGGAGAAGGCTGTGGAAGCCCCCGGCAGGCCTTCCTCCCTCGCAGAGCAGTCAGAGCCCTGGAGTAGCTGAGAGGCATCAAGGGATCTGGGAGCGGAGGTCTTATACTCAAGGTGATCTGGAGTTACAGCTTTGGGGGAGCTGCCTCGAAGGTGATAAGACTGGATTCGGGGGCAGTCCCCTTCCCTGGGGGTGTGGAGGCTTTTTCTGAGGGCAGGGGGCTTTCTACTTTGGCCCCAGAATCCTCTTCATCGTCATCCATACTGGGCCAGACAGACTGGTCTTCCACTCTCTTCAGCCGCTCATTGAGAGCCTTCAGAGCCAGCTGCCTGAGGTGAGAGATGACAGGTCACTCTGGGTCTGGGCTTGGCTCATTTCTTGTACACTTGCCCCCCTGCCCCACCCAGCCGACACTCTTCACCTAGATTTCCATATTTCTCCTTCCCCATTCAGGGCCCAAGGCTCCCCAGAGGTTAGATTGGATGAGAGCCCATTTTGCCATCAAAGAAAGGATCCAGATGCTATCATGTCTTCCTTCCATAGCCAGGGCACCTCCAGGCTAACAAGGCTAGCTGGATGTCTGCCAGTCTGCCAACCAGGCTGTCACCAGGAATGGTTCTGAGTTTGGTGGCTAAGAATGGGCTGATGTCCAGTTCAGATAGTAGAAAGGGAAAGTCTTGGGACATGAGTTCCTACCTGGCATCATCTCCAGGAAGGATACTATTAATGAAAAAGGACCAGTTTGTAGCAGTCCTTTTCTAACTCTTGACATCTTTATTCCAGAAGAATCTCCCAAAGCCACCAAGACCTAGGTTAGAACAGGTACTTAAGCCAGGTGCCAGTGGCTCACACTGTAATCCCAGGCAGGAAACTCAGTGAGACTTTTTTTTTTTGTTCAGTCCTGGGGCTTGAACTCTGGGCCTGGGCACTGTCCCTCAGCTCTTCAGCTCAAGGCTATGGCTCAACCACTTGAGCCACAGTGCCACTTCCGGCTTTTTTTTTCTGCTTATGTGGTGCTGAGGAATGGAACCCAGGGCCTCATGCATGCAAGGCAAGCGCTCTACCACTGAGCCACCTTCCCAGCCCCTAGTCACTTCTTCCTAAGGGTCAAAGAAGACAGATGGGAAACCTTGCCTCGTTCTAGTAGCTCTTTGTGTTTGAAAGTGGCATGCAGTCAGATGTTAAGCTGGTCGATGGGGCAACCCCCACCCACTTTTTTTTTTTTTGTCAGCTATGGGGCTTGAACTCTGGGCCTGGGCACTGTCCCTCAGCTTTTCAGCTCAAGGCTTGAACCACCTCGCCACTTCTGGCTTTTTCTGCCATTATGTGGTGCTGAGGAATCGAACTCAGAGCCTCATGCATGTAAGGCAAGCGCTCTACCACTGAGCCACCTTCCCAGCCACTTCTGTATAAGCTAACAACCATTAGGCTATGCTAACAATCTACCTCTTGTCTTCACCCTTACCCTACCTCTCTGTCCATTTTTTTTTGGTCCTGGACAGAAACTTTCTGAAGGCCCCCAAACCTCTCATTAGAGGGGCCATCAACTGGTCTTGTCCTACTTGAGCAACTCGGAGGAAAGCTTAGTTTTTCTTCCTAGGCCCCGCCCTCCTGGTCCCATCTCCTGCACTAGATGAGGTCAAGACATACTTATATCTTTTGGACTTAGCAACAGAGAGCCAGGCTGTAATGGCCCAGAATTAGTTCTAGAGCTTGCCTTGGGTGATTGTCTCCATCTACTACCCTAGACCACCTGATGGGACACTCATTGAAGGATGGATGTGGTCTGTCCTTAACTGCAGAACCCCGGTGAGGTGTAAACTCAAAGCTAACTTCTGCTAAATTCACAGCGCTACCTGCTAAGGACCCATTTCACAAATGAGCAAAATCAGGGCATCTGGTAAATACAAAAGAAAAAGGCTTGCACTAGGCTGCCACCCAAATAAAACACCCCCAAAACCAAACAACACACTCAAGAATAATGTTGGAAGCTGGGTGCCGGTGGCTTACACCTGTAATCCTAGCTACTCAGGAGGCTGAGATCTGAGGATCACGGTTCAAAGCCAGCCCAGGCAGGCAAGTCCATGAGATTCTTATCTCCAATAAAACACTAGAAAACCGGAAGTGGTGCTCTGGCTCAAGCGGTAGTGCTCGCCTTGAGCTGAAGAGGGTAAGGACAGCACCCAAGCCCAGAGTTCAGGCCCCATAACCAACAAAACAAAAACAAAAAACAAAAACATGAATAATGTTGCAAGTAGAACTGTGGCTCTCCTGAATGCTAGGCATCCACAGGTCTGGAAGAGTAAGAGCTAAATGAAATTAAAAGTATTGGGCTGGGAAGGTAGCTCAGTGGTAGAGTGCTTGCCTTGCATGCATGAGGCCCTGGGTTCGATTCCTCGGCACCACATAAGCAGAAAAAAGCCGGAACTGGCGCTGTGGCTCAAGGGGTAGAGCACTAGCCTTGAGCTGAAGAGCTGAGAGACACTGCCCAGGCCCAGAGTTCAGGCCCCACAACCGACAAAAAAAAAAATTTGTACTGCCCTGGCCCAAATCATCCTGCAAATAGTTCAGCTGAGACTCCTGCTGCTGCAGATGGCTTAGTTTACATAAATGTGAAGGTCTCCTCCCTTCTGGTGTCAGCAGGCTCCTGGGGTGGGTGACACAGGCTTACTAGAGAACAGAGAAAGTTGATAATATCTCAAAGCTATTCTCATTAAGGACAGAGAGAGACACAGCATCTTAATGGAGTCCAGAAAGAGGATATAGTTCTGTTTCATAACTGGGGTGGTCCAGACCACCTCTTAAGGATCCTAGGCTTCTCTCCTCCACCTTTTTTTTTTTTTTTTTTGGCAAGGGGGGGGCTGGTAATGGGGCTTGAACTCAGCCTGGGCGCTGTCCCTCAGCTCTTCAGCTCAAGGCGAGGGCTCTACCAGTTGAGCCACAGTGTCACTTCTGGTTTTATGGTGGTTTATTGGAGATAAGTCTCATGGACTTTTCCTGCCTGGGCTGGTTTTGAACCACAATCCTCATATCTTAGCCTCCTGAATAGCTAGGATGACAGGCATGAGCCACTAGCGCCTGGCTCTCCTCCAGCCTTTATCCCCTCTCAGGGGAAAAAGGTCCAACAGGTTGGTTCTGATTCCAAGTTTAGTGTCCAGGATCTGGGGATTCTGAAGCAAAAGTTTACAGCCTCTCTCACATGACGCCAAAGGAGGTTAGCATTTATTGAAACCTGTTCAGTGGCCTGAGTGGTAAGAAACAAAGGTACTGGATTCCAGACACCCACTTCCTGATTTCCTCAAAGCCAAAGACTGGATTTTCTTTCTTTCTGAACCTGCTCCAATACTTGCCACTAATTCTCCAGCTTTGTGACAGCAGGAATCTGAATGGATACTTTTTTTTTTTTTTTTTGGTCAGCTGTGGGGCTTGAACTCTGGGCCTGGGTGTCAACGCTTCAGCTCAAGGCTAGTGCTCTCTCACTTGAGCCACAGCACCACTTCCGGCTTTTTCTGCTTGTGAGGTGCTGAGGAATCGAACCCAGGGTCTCATGCATGCAAGGCAAGCACTTTACCCCTGAGCCACCTTCCCAGCCCCAACGGATAGCCTTTGACTCGACCAATAAACCCAATGCTTTCTTAGCTTGCCCGGATTTTGGAAAATTTCACGTACCTTCTCCGCTCAGCATCTTGAGGGTCTGTGCCTGGGAGGCTGATGGTGATGGAGGATGGGGCTCCCACATCATAGCGTTTGACTGTCTTCTGGCATATCTTGACCTTCACTAGGAGGCCATGGACCAAGTTCGCCAGCAGCCCCACCACGGGCTGTAGGATCTCGGGGAAGAAAGTGGCAAAAGCAAAATGGTCAGCCATGTCCCCTCGGCCCCGGCTATGGCGCTGGTAGAAGCGAAGATACACCCAACTGGAAAGCAGCCCAAAACCGTAGGAAGCTAGTGCGGGGCTCTGGAGCACAGTGGCCAGTCGCAGCAGTAACAGCAGCGCCAGCAACAGCATGGGGACGACACTGACCCGCACCTGCGGCACTCGCAAGACCACACAGTCCCCCATGGTTTGCTTGAGAGCCACCAGGACCCCACCTAGAAAGCCCAGGGCACCGTGGATACGGATGGTGAACAGGTAGACCAAATTGAAGGAAGCCATGTAGGTGAGAAGGTAGGCGAAGGCCCCCAGTAACCCCACGGACACATTCACCACCGAGAAGAAGATAAGCAGCTCCAAGGCCCCCCAGAGGGGTTCCAGCAAACGGCCGGCCGCCACCACCGTGGCCAGGCTAATGGCCACGTCCCACACGTGCTGCTCCATCAGCCCATGGGTGGCCAGGGTCCAGATCCAGAAGTTGGGAGGAAAGAGGTAGCCTGGGGTAACTGCTAGGCAGTCCGTGTTCACGGCGAAGGAGAGCAGATACAAGAATAGAACGGCCGCGCACAGCGCCTTCACCACCACGCTGGCACTGGCCAACACGGCCCCCAAGTGTTGGCGGGCGCCCGGGAGGGCGCGATGCATCTTCCTGGCTGGCGTGGGCCTGGAGGAAGGTGAGAGAGGTGGGGCTAGGGGCCTCCCCGGGGCCTCGTCCCTGTCGGCCCCGACGGGAGGCCCGGCCTCGGCCTGGTCACACTGGCCTACTACGGCCCCGCTGACGGCTCCGGTTCCGGTGGAGTCGGACTGCGGTCCTCAGGGGAACAGCCGGGCCTTTTCGCCGGGCCGGAGCCTAGGTCCCGTGCCGGGGACCCGAGCGAAGGCCCTGGGAGGCTTCAGTACGTCGGCCGGTCCGCTCCGTAGGCCCTGCGGCCGGGCTAGCATTGAACTCAATACGAGGCCTCCAGAATCCACTCCAGGACCGCTCTGTCCGTTCAGGCCCGTGTTAAGTCGGGTTAGCTCCGGCTCGGCCTTGGTCTTGGCTTCCACGGCACCTCCTCCCTCCTCGGGGGCCGACAAACAGGGGCGCTGCGCTTGCGCGCCCTCGGATGAGAGGGGGCGAGTAGCCCTCCGACTTCCGGACTTCCGGCTCCTCGGAATTCTGGGATATGGAGTCCCTGGTCAACGTCGGGGGGAGACTAGTAGACTGAGCTTCCGTGTAGGACTACAAGTCCCAGAAAGCTTCGCGCCCAGGCTATGACCATTCGGCGCTGGTGGTAGGTGTTCTGGGAGTTGTAGTTCTCAGGCGTGTTCTCGCCCGTTCTTGGGAGCTTGCGGAAGGGTAAAGCTTGGAAAGCTCAAGGTGTAGGTGGATTCGACACACAACTGAGCTTCAGGGTGCACACTCGCTGAATTCTTTGGGGAGAGGCATTGTAAGTGATGTGTATGTGAACCTCACAGTGTGTCTTTGAGGGCAGGCATGTGGGTCTGTGCAAGGACCTCTGTGGTCTAGCGAATTGAATAGGGCCTGACCCAGGCTGGAAACATTGCTCTGTCATTTGGTGTCCACAGGACACTGGCTTACTTCCTGACCCTTTCTGAAACTCAAAACGGACCTCTCAAAATGGAGTTAGTGACAAGGCCTTCCTACCATAAGAATCAAAGGGGATTTTATTGTTTTTTCAATAATGAGGATTAAACTCAGAGCCTATGAGTTTGCTAAATAGATGCCCTACCACTTGGCCCAGGCTTCCAGCTCCTTTTTGCTTTTTAAAATTTTTCTGTTGTTGGTCGTGGGGTTTGAAGTCTGGGCCTGGGCACTGTCCCTGCGCTCTTCAGCTCAAGGTAAGTGCTATACCGCTTGAGCCTTAGCACCGCTTCCAATATTCTAGTGGTTTATTGGAGATGAGTCTCATGGACTTCCGTGCCCAGGCTGGCTTTGAACCACGATCCTCAGATATCAGCCTCCTGAGGATTACAGGTGTGAGCCACTGGCGCCCAGCTTTTTTTGGTGGGGGAGTCAGTCGTGGGGCTTGAACTCTGGTCCTGGGAACTGTCCCTCAGCTCCTCAGCTAAAGGTGAACGCTCTACCACTTGAGCCAAAGCACCACTTCCGGTTTTTTTTTGTGTGTGTGGTTTATTGGAGGTAAGAGTCTCACAAACTTTCCTGCTTGGTCTGGCTTTGAACCACGATCCTCAGATCTCAGCCTCAAGTAGTGGAGGAATCGAACCCAGGACCTCATGCATGCTAAGCAAGCACTCTACCATTGAGCCACCTTCCCAGCCCAGCCTTTCTATATTTTATCTGACAACTCTGTAGAATCTCAGGTGCTGTTTTAGGACATGAGAACTGTCTTGGGGGTTGAAGTTAGTCCTTGCCCTGTTGGTCAACTCCTTCAGAGGAAGGAGGGAAGCCCCATTTTGGCCAAGGACTGGAATGTCCTCATTTGTTTAGCAGGATTCCTCCTGCTGGCCATCTTGTCTCTGAGACCTTCTTATCTGGTGGGGGAAAATTTCTCCCATCGGTGAGAACACTAGTACTTACTCCTAAGTCTGTGTGAGGACTCAGCCAAGCCCTCTCCAGGTGCTGTGCTGGCAAACACAGTCACTGGAAATGCCCATAATGGTGAAGTATGAGTTCACTTCCCCCACTGGGAAGGCACTGTGCAGGTGGTTACAGTTATTTTTCCATGAAAAAAAATGCAGAAGTCACATGAACTAGAGTTGGGGTTAAAATTAACAGGGTGAGCTGGGTGTGGCAGTATATGGTGTCATCCCAACATTCAGCAGATTGAGGCAGGAGGACTGAAAATTCAAGTACAGCCTGAGTTGTCACAAAGTGAGCAGCTAGAAGGGCCTGCCAAAGGAATGAATAAAAACTGGGTTGGTGGAAGTGGCGCTGTGGCTCATGTGGTAGAGCGCTAGCCTTGAGCTGAAGAGCTGAAGGACAGCGCGCAGGCCCAGAGTTCAAGCCCCATGACTGACCAAAAAAAAAAGAAAAAGAAAAACTGAGTTGGCCTCTGGCCTCCCCTAGACCCTGATAGGGCCCCTACTGGCTTGTAGGTGGGCCTTAGTATCCTCAGGACAACAGGATTGGGCCTTAGTGCAACAGAGTGCTGGCTTCTGCTCTTTTTGGTGAGTTAGGGGACCTGTCTTTCAAGCCCTCGTTAGCTGACTACATGGCTGGACCCAACTGGATTAACATCTCATTACTGTTTTCTTTCCAGGGTCCAGCCCTTGCCTTGATGCTCTGAGAGGCTTCCTTTTACCTTCTCCTTCTGTGTGTGTGTGTGTGTGTGTACACAAGCACACACTCATGCCACTTCTGGGCTTGAACTCTAGGTCTAGGTGTTGTCCCTGAGAATACTCCCTCAAGGTTAGGGCTCTACCATTTGAGCCATAGCTTGACTGTGAGATAGGAAAGCATTACAAACTTTCCTGCTGGGCTGGCTTTGAACCGTGATCCTCAGATCTCAGCCTCCTGACTAGCTAGGATTACAGGTGTGAGCCATCAACAAACAGCTTTCTTTCTTTGTCAGTCATGGGGCTTGAATTCTGGGCTTGGGCATTGTCCCTGTGCTCTTGAGCTCAAGGGCAGCACTCTACCACTTGAACCACAGCACCACTTCCGATTTTCTAGTGGTTTATTGAGGAGTCTCACAGCCTTTCCTGCCTGGGCTGGCTTTGTACCTTGATCCTCAGATCTCAGCCTCCTGAGTAGCTAGGATTACAGGTGTGAGCTACTGGTGCACAGCTAGCTTTCTTTCTTCTATATAAAGAGGTGTTTTTTGTTTTGTTTTTTCCTGGAGACTTGTAACTTGAGACAAAGTATGTCAGGAGCTAGGCTTTTAGTAGACACTGGAAGCATCCTGTCCTATGGCTCCAAGAGTTGTGGTCTTCATACCCATCAGGGTAGGTTGAATCTCAAGGTCATGGCCACCCGCCTTCATAGTTACCCAGTCCTTATCCCAAGGCTGAAACAGTGGATGGAAACTGTTTGAAGTGAAAATATGAACATTATTTAATAACTGATCTTCTGTAATAAACCATTTGAAAATATTTTACAAGGAATCACACACACAATATTTTACAAAGTTTCTTGACTTTTTTTTTGTCGCTGTTGTGTTTCCGACTTGTCTGTACAAAATAGAACAATAACAGAAAAAAAAAAGGGCAGAGAAAAGGAAAAGGCCCCCTAATTCCCCAGCCTAAGGTGAGGGTGGGGGGGGGGAGGAAGCCAGGTCAGGTGATGATGAGAAAGATCAGACCCATTTGGGGGTTAGACAACTACCTGATGGGGATTGTTTTGTCTGTTTTTCTGTTTTTTAAACTTAAAATATATTTGTTTCTGTATGTTTCTTTTATATTCTCCATTGAGCACCTGACTACACTACAGTTACACACACGCCCCCTACAGGACACAGCTGACATCCCTGGCTGGGCATACATCATGAACACCCACCTTGGCACCAGCAGCGGGCAAGAGACCGTACACACACACTGAGAAAGCGACAAGCAACATGACATTAATTAACGGAGCCATTAATTAATGCATTACCCTCCCCCCTCCTCCCAGTCCATCTGAGCCTCGTGGCTATATGCCCTCCAGCTCTCAGTCCCCTACTGGCCCCCAGGCTCCAATGCCTTCGGGGGAAATGATCAGAATGAATGGTGGGAAAGATGTGCCCAGACCCAGCCTCCATACGTGCAGTGTGTATGTGTGTGTGTGTGTGTGTGCGCGTGTGCACGTGCACTCTGAGTATGTATTCAACAGGGGAGGGACGATTTGGCCTCCTAGGGGCAGGGAGAGTGTGGGTATGAGTGGCAATGATATAGGGAGTGGGCACAGGCCTGAGTGTAGAAGGGCCAGATGGAGATGGGATGGCCCAGCCAGGAGAGACCAAGTCACTCCTGCTAAGGCAAAGGGTAGTGTCTGGTGTGTGTGTGTGTATGTGTGTGTGTGTGTGTGTGTGCCCTCTGCCAAGGGGTGCAGGCAGCGGCATATGGTCCTGCTGGGTGGGTGGGTGGGAGCTGACACTAGTGAGAAATGGGTACAATGAGCACCTGGCAGAGAGAGGGGTCCTTGGGGAAACACTGATGGCTAGGGGTGGGATGGGGGGGGGTCTTCCACCCAGCCCCAGCATTATTTGGCACTGTTGCACATTCAGCTTCAGAGATGGGAGGACTAGCTGGGCTGTAGCTCAGAATAGAGGCGGGCGGTGAGCAGATGGAGGGCACAGGTAGGTGTACAGCCCTCTCACCAGCCCCTTGCCCCGTGTAAGGCTATGGGAGCCCCCCTCCCGCCCGTGGCATGTGTATCTATGTGTCTGTATTTATGTGGGTCCCCTGGGGTAGGTCTTATGGGAGTCCCGTTTTTGCCCTCAGGGTCCAGGTATGTACTGTGTTGTGTCTCAATTGCTGTCATCGTGAGACTGTCCTGACGCCTGCAGAGCTGGGCTGTGGGTGACTCCAGACCTGAACGGAACAGGAGCCAATAGAAGACTGTCCCCCCCACCCCCACCCCAAGAACATCTCTCCCACCAGGATTTCAGTTAGGATGCACAGGCCTTAAACTACCATCTCTTCCTCTATTCTACCCAGGGAAACTACGGTAGAGAGGGCCAGACTGGACGTGTCCAACTGAGACAAGGTCACCTTTGCAGAGGAAGCCTCCAGGCAGCATGGGCAGCAGAGGCCTGATTTGGCACCAGTACAGGTGTCCAGGGCCTAGGGACACTTACATGGTTCAGGGGTGAGTCATGTCTTGGGTGCCAAAGAATGTGGCACCCTGCTTTGGGCATAGGCTCCCAGGGCTCAGGTCCTTCAGTTGAGGAAGAGTAAATCTCTAAGGTGGATGATGTGGGGTGGCAGGAAGGGGGAGAGGTGAGGGAGGCCAGGATGGGGGTGGGGGGCCCCAAGGTGGGATGTTCAGAGGCGGGGAGAAGGAGGAAGGGCGTGGACTTGAGGCTGTGGCCGGGGCGGCAGGCCTAGGAGCAGCAGCAGTTGCAGGGACACCAGGACGCCCAGCGAGGGTGGGAAGGAAGCGCCTCGGCCACAGTCTGAGGTATCTTCCTACGGAGGAGAGACAAGGTAACTGGTCG